GTCGAGCTATCAGGTGACTTAAGATGAGCACAACGGCAGGCACACAATCCAAGATATTACAAAGCTCACGGATACTGTCAGAAGACATGCTTTACCTTCGAGCGGAGCACACGCAAACATCTGGGATAAGAGCCAAGGCAGCTTACCGAAGACTAACTACGGCTGTTCGACTAGAGAAAACCTCAATATCGGAAACGTAGTGTTGAAAACGCCTAGAGTATCGTCGGCCAGGATAGGACTGACCGACTGACCGAACAAATTCACTCAGCGCTCTCCTATTCATAATTCAGAATGGCAAAGGAAATTTGAAACCGCGATATTTTCTTGAACGTTCTCGTTTAGACCATCTGAAAAGTCAGATATCGACGGTCCATATAAAACTGACAAACACACCGCAAATACCCAATTACAGCAGTGATCACCCACCACAACACAAATAAGGTTCAGTATGCACGCTAGCGTGGCTTGGTTAAAACGCATTGCTGCGTTTACATCGTTCAACGAAATGAGGCTAAGTCCCTCCAAAAAGCTCCCAGAAGCCTGTCTACAGTAACATGTTCAGACGTACAGATCCCATAAATAAAGAGAAATTAAGAGTCCAGTCGGCCGATGTTAATGCGGAACATTTGGTTAGTAAAGTATCACCGAAGCCTATGCTAAATTCCTCAACCAACTCATAAAAAGAGTTGATCACAGCAGGTACTACAGTTCAAAGACTACACACTTATCAATAAAAAAACAGAAAAGTAGGGTTACGTCGGGGTACATTTCCAAATTCATGGATCGTTTATAGTTGGACTAAGTCAGAATTATCAACCCGTAGTGCGCATATCGGTTGCTGTTTAAACTTAAAGGCCATGGTTATTACCGGCAGAGGAGATGAGCGAAAATCAAGGTGGGCAAATGAAAAATGACTGTCAACCCATGGCTCATTCCATTTACAAAAATGTATAATTCTCTCAATGTAACTTAACGATCCTACTTCACAAGAAACAGTAAACAGGCCATCAGTTATCAAAACGGTAAACATGTCACACGGAAACTAGGATTTGTTTCCACATCGTAGTCAGTACGGACGGCCAATGCTTTCGGT